TTAAATTTCACTCCATCCTCCTCAGCTTATTTAGTAACATGGGCTGGAAAAAGCAGGATGAAGCAAACAATCGTGACTCACCATCTGCAGCAGCCGTGGGTGGTGCGTTTCTGGGAACAATCCTGTCAGGAAGAAAAGTGTCAGCAGTGCTTGTGACTTTCACGTCGGAACAACATCTGGAATGACGTGCATTATTAACGCTCAAATATCAGGAGCTACATCAACTGGCGATCAATCTGGCAGCAATGCTCTCGCTTTCGTCTGCCCTCGTAACCACCCAAGACAGTGTCTAGCAAAACACCGTAAGGGTGGAAGCTCCCCTCATAAATGCTGCCCAAGACTGGAAGACGCAGATTGAAGGCTGAAATGCACAGATATGGAAACCAAGGGAGAACAACTCGGCTGGTCTACCTAAAAGCTCCCTGCAGAGGATTTGTGGCCACTGCAACAACCAGGCTCCTGTCACCAATGAAAAAGGGACCAAAACAAGACACCAGTGTCAATTATGTAAGGACCAGGTTCTCTGTGGGCATCTGTGTGGTGTACTGCAGCAGTAAGGGGTTCTGAGCCCACTGCTACGGGCCATCAGGTCCTTGTATAACCAGAGTGAGGGCCGTGTCCATGTCCTTGTGGGTGTTGGACCGTCTATCTCCGATCGTCCAAGGCTGAGTAATGACCAAAAGAGTAAGGTCGCGAATACAAATAGCTTAGTTTCCTCCTGCAGACAGTTTGAGGAGCTCAGATACCCAGACGGATCTTGGAGTAGAGCCGCTGCGCTCGCGTGGCAAAATGAGCCCGCTGAGGTGGTTTGGGCATCTGGTATGGATGCCTCCTGGCAGCCTCCCTTTGGAGGTTTTCCAGGCACAGACAACTGTGAGGACACCCGGGGTAAATCTAGAAGATTAGAGAGATTATATATGTCATCTGGTCTGGGAACACCTCGAAATCCTCCAGAAGTAACTGGAAAGTATGGTTCAGGAGTCTGCTGCCACCACGACCCGACTTCAGAAAAACAAAGTGCATTGAATGGATAGATTTTGTAAAAAGCTTAACCTATTCTGTTTAAATGTAAAACAAACAGAAAATCTGAGCTGCAGCTTCTGCTTATACTAAAGCCAAGGATAACAGAGCGCACTGTACCTCCATTGGAAAGACACAGGCTGTTTAAAGTCAGATGACCTGTGCGATTTTGGTCACTCCTAGTTTGGAAGAAGGACAGAGGAAAAACCACAGCAGGTTAGCAGTTTATCAGTTTACACTGTTTTGGCAGCCTGCATGAAAACACCACCAACCTGTACAGCAGCTCCAGGGCCACGGTGTCTCCATAGTCGTGGGACACCAGGTTCACTCGCTGGTTGCTCAGACCCAAGTGGGCCACCAGGGCTTCAACCACACTGGCCTGCTCGAAGATGGAGTACTTATGGGGCCGCTGGTACATTAGAGCACAGTAAAAACACATGTTAGACACGTTTTAATCAGTCGATGTATAATGATGGATTTTCTGTATCTAGCTTTCACCCACCGGTTTATCACTGAAGCCAAAACCGAGGAAGTCCAGCGCAATCACACGATGGAATCGTTGTGTGAGCGGATCCCAGATCTGTATGAGAGGAGGGGGGAAAAGAAAGGATAGGTGGGGGTCCCAAACACACCCTTACAGTTCTCCATTTGTTTATCCACTGGGCATGTGCAGAGAGATGGGCACCTTGCTCCAGTCATAGCTGGAAGTGGGGAAGCCATGGAGTAGGATGATGACATCTGAGCTTCCCAAAGCACCGAGAGAGTCTGAGAAGAGACCACAGATCAAAGACATATCTGTGCTTGACTGGCATGTTCTGGTAGCACTAAGACTGACGTGTTACCTCTGTAGAAGATTTTCCAGCCTCTGAAGTGGAAGACCTTCCCAGCACTGTGCCACTTCTGCAGCGCAGTGGACAGCTGAGGGGGCGGGATGTGCAGGTACACAGCCACCAAAGGGATGCAGATCAAACCCACATGAATCCACCACTCTCTCATCTTGAACTCAGCCGTGAGGGAGTCGCATTCCTGCCTGTGAGATGGACGCATGAGCGACAACACGTTAGATAAGAAACCTGCAAGATTCGCATCGATGCACAAGTTCACACAGGTCATGTCGCAGATGCAAGGGGGGAGGAAAGGCCATGTCTTCCTGCTGCCTGCACTGCAACAGTAATTTATCACTGTGCAACTCATTAAAGGAGACAAACCCGCTGTCAGTTATCTATAAATGATCGATAAGTCATTACAACTCCAACCTTCCACCAGACTGATCCTGTACTCGGTTTACTTCTACGAGACCGACGCTGCTGCGGGTTGCTGTACTCTCATGAACACTGTGACCCGTCTTCAGCAGACCTTCGCCCCGTGTTTGGGATCCATTACTGCGGAGGAATTTCCTGCCGAGCGGAATAAGGCGACACTTTTCAAAGATTAAAATAAATTCACTGAGGTCTCACTCTGCTGCTACGTACACGAGGAAAGAGACTGAAGCGAGTAGCTTAGTTGGTTGTGGTTATTGTCAGTCAACACTTAAGTAAGCCATCATCATCTTAGCCGTTATTATACACGATCTTCGATGGGCTGACAATAGACTGCAGGAGAGAAGCACAGTGCCACCTGCCGGTCTGGATGTGCAACAGCATTTTATCGTTTCTGACTACATTCATTGACTGGAAAACATCTTAAAAATGTGAAATTTGATCCAGCAAGACTGTTTTCTTTTTGTCTTTTACATTGATTTTATATATAAAATAAAGTGAAATTATTTTATTATTATATTGAGGATTTAGTCAGTTACATAATAATAATAATGAGTGTCCTGCAGCCTCGCCTCTGTCAGTGCGCCCCAGGGTCACTGTGGCTACGCTGTAGCTTGCCATCACCAGTGTGTGAATGTGTGTGTGAATGGGTAGATGATTGTGTGCAGTGTAAAGCGCTTTGGGGTCCTTAGGACCAAGTAAAGCGCTATACAAATACAGACCATTTACCATTATCATTGTTGTTGTTGTTTTTATTTAATTTTTAAATAAAAAACGTTTTATTTTGACATATTTAGGTATTTTAATCTCTTAATAATTTTATTTTTCACTTCTTCTCCTTCTTTATGTTTTTATCATATTGAAATATTTGCTTCAGCATATTGTATTTTAATATAATATTTTACATATAAAATGTATGTATGTCAAACATTTTTTAAGTGCATGTCATGTTCTGTGTACTGGATGTGGATATATGCATGAAAGGGTCCCTTTGGTACATCTGCTAAACCTTTTTTTATGAGAAACGCATCTCCTAAAAATCTTTATTGATTTACAATCATTCTATCAGTCAGTCATTCATTGGCAAAAGTAAAAGTAGTTTTTTTAAAGGAGAGGGGAAGACAAAAACCTCTTCAGGCACCCATAGTTTTTATATTTTAATTTCAGTTTTCTCTCCTAAGAGCAAAGCTGCACCATACCAGATTTAACTATTAGCTCATTTCTATTTGCAGTCCATGGGGGGGAGGGGGAGAGATAGAGAGAGATAGATAAAAATCTATTGAAATGTTTTCCTATTACGGCATGAGGTTAACCATACTCTTTAGTTCTTTACTTCAGCAAAGAAAGGTCAGGCCTGGCATTGTTGGAGCAGAGAGAGCGATCTCCAAACATTTTTTCACAAAGCTGCCATTGTGCCACATTACTCACAATACACTTCATCTCTGAATTTGCCAGATAAACAAACCAACTGTCAAACAGGACTCGATTACCGCAATTAATTTAAATAATATAGTCTCCAACTGTTGCGAAAATTCCACTCATCACAGCCCGTTATTGTCATTGTCCACAAACACAACAGTTATTTGAAGAAAACACTCAAAATAAGCGACACAGCTCTTACCAAGTTAAGCCAGAGTGACTTTTCAATTATGAACACTTGTAGTCTGAAAATCTGTCCAAAAACAAGACAAAGCAACGGAATTTGTTTATTAAGACAATGGTGGCCAAGGCAAAGCATTCAATGGTCACTTTGTTAGATACAGATGTTCAGTTGCTCATTAAAACAACCTTGTAGGGTTTACAGATTGATGTGAAAAAGAGAAAATATCCAGTGAGTGGCAAATCACTAGCTGATAGGAAGGCAACAGCAAGTCAAATAATTACTTGTTAAACCAAAGTATGCAGAAGAGCATCTCTGAATGCCCAAGATGCTGAACCTTGAAGTAGATGGGCTACAGCAGCAGATGACCACACCAGAAACATGGCATAAACATGAAAGCATGGATCCACCCTGCCTTTCCAGTTCAGGCTTGTGGTGGTTGTGACGTAATGCTGCAGTGGACGTTTTATTGGCAAACTCCTCGCCTCTTTAGTATCAACTGAGCATCATTTAAGGGCACCTTAAACACCTTACCTGAGCAGTGTTGCCGGGCATGTCTATCCCTTTATGACCACAATGTTCCCATCTTCTGATGGCTGATTGGAACAGGATAACACACCATGTCACAAAGCTTAAAATAATCTCAAACTGGTTTCTTGAACATGAAAATGAGTACACTGTACTGACATGGCCTCAACAATCACCACATCTCAGTGTAGCAGAGCACCTTTGGGATGTGCTGGAAGAGGAGATTGGAGTCATTGATGTGCAGCAACTTTGAGATGCTGTCATGTCATTATGGAGGAAATCTCCGAGGAAATTTCCTGCAGTGAAGTATTTAGGCAGCTCTAGAGGAAAAAAGGTGGTCCCAGTCAGTACTAGGAAGACATAACTGGTGAGGCGCCGAGTGTGTTTATTGCCAGTATTGGCCACTCTGACATTTGGCAATGGTGCAGGAATAAAAAAAAAATACAGTCTTATTATGAGGAAAATCAAGACCTTCTACAAAGTGTTTTCCTTCCATCCTGTAGGGATGATGATTTTCAATACAGCGCAGTCCACATTTGAGAACTGCAAAACTGTGAAACACTGCATGATAAATGACAAACATGGCCCTGCAGTTAGGCTAAATACATTTTTTATTTTTAAAAACCATACACATTACTCGACAAGTTTCAAATGTAAATCCAATCACGATATCCATTTAAAATGCTCAAGATAAAACAGACATGAAGTACTTTTATTTCCAAATGTTAAAAGATAAAAAAATAATAATCCATAAAACAGATGGAAAAAAACATTCATTCCCATTACAGGAAGAAGCTACAGAACAAACTCCTCACATGGATTCCTCTCGCTTTTTTCCAATTTCTCACTCTCAATCCTAGCTGCTATTTTGTCGTCTGTAAAACAAGGAAAACAAACCATTTATGACTTTACATTTCCACCTTCCACTTCCCTGTCCGCGGCCCTTCAGGTGAAGCCGGCCAGACGGCTGCAGGAAAAATCTGCAGCCCGCTGCCCGAGTTTATCCCTTGTGTGTGGTTGGCAAGCACCATCCCAAACATTTAAGCGTGTTCTAAAATGCAAACTAAAGAGAGGCCTCTTCTCTTTCACATCATTTGCACCCTGAGATGAATCTTCCAGAACAAAAAAAATAAATAAATAAAAAAATCCCAAAACATTTTAGTGGCCAAAACCCCCGTTCCCCATAGAACATGATTGGTGTCAAATCATCCAAAATTTGTTAGGTATGATGAAAGGTATCATCAGCATTGCCATAAAAATACAAAGGTACAATTTTATTACGATTTGTATCAAAATTCTTTTTCCCCAAAGGAACGTTATGAAATAAGTACCCTGTGCAGATAGATACCAGTGTATGCCTCGGCTTTTATTCTTGAAAAATGCACAAATGTCGAATTCTTTAGCGCTTCCAGTACATCAGGTGTCAAAAATAGTTTTACAAACAAACCAAATGCAGCAACGTTTGTTATTAATAATGGTTTAAAGGAGTCTTCTGAATAGGGTGGTGGTTGTTGGTGGATTTAAATTTTTTAAAATGCCAACAAACCAGAAATAGTCAGAGGAATAAAATTAATATTTACCTAAAGCGTAAAGAGAATGAAATATGAAAAATGGTTCACTTTGTTTTTGACCAAAGATGAAGATGTTTTTGCTATCTAAATACACAAGCTCTGAAGCAAAAAGGGGTTTTCCCCTCTCATTTAAATTAAATACTTTTTCTATGCCTGAGTAAACAAATGTCAGTATTCTACATTGGCGGGGAGTGGGAGGGGGGCTGAGAAAATTCAAAAATATAAATAAAATGCACCATTTAGGGGAAAAAAAAAAAAGAACGAAAAAGACCAGTGTCCGTATTTATCAAGCATCCAGAGGGAGGAAATCAGTCTCTGCTGTCCCCACATGTTAGATGGAGGATGACTTTGGTCCTGCTTTTAGCTGTGGAGGTCTTTTTTTTCTCTCCCCCCATAAGGAGTCTCCTAAAGGCGATAAATGATGGGACCAAGATTGTCTAAATTATTACTGAAGCCAAGGCACACTGACGTTTAGCCTATGTGAAGGTCTTACTGAGAAATAGACACACTTGTTCAGTAGATAATACAGTGCTAGTTTGAACTGCAGCGGTCATAAAAAAAAAAAAAAAGAGAACAAAAAAGTTGATTAAAGTCATTTTGGTGCTTTTGGCAGAACATGTTTTAGCGTTAACGCACCCACAAGCCCTTCGTCAAATTAATCTATGCTTGTGAGTGCAACATACCAGCTAAAAGAAGAGATTTTCATTTTATGGTTCCAAATCGGAAAGAAGAACTCCTACTTTACGCTTAAGCGGCTTCATAAAGGACCTTGTATCTGACTCTGAGGTAAGACTTTGTTTCCTCCTCCCAGCTTTCGGCAAGATAAATAAGAGCCTGGGATTATTTTCTAAACTCCCTTTAAATAACTGAACCTTTCAACATGTGGAAATTCCTGAACACAACATAATGACTGAAAAAGAGAATCCAGAACTCCAGAAGGTTTTGTGCACATGAAAACTAGCGAAGAAATGGAAGAAGTTAAATATTTATAGCGATGTTAGTGGACTAGAGGCCTTAATTATCTTTCCCGTCCCGTCTCCTGTGAAAACACCTCGTCAGATGGACCTCTTTTTTCTATACAAGCCTTAGTGTTTATCGGTTTGGCTAGAAGGTTCTATATTTATCTACAAATATATAACAAATAAAACTTGCAGGCAAAAATAGTTAAGTTTCAATAGAAACACCCCTTTTTTTTCCTGAAAATACAGCAGTATCTGAAATAATCCTCTCATTCGTTTCTTAATCTGTCCCAGTTTTCTGCATCATACATCAGGAAGCTCTTTGCCTACAAACAGAAAAAAAGTATCTACAAACTTTGTAAACAGACCTGCTTTTTTTCCCTCCAAAAACATAAATAACTCAAAATATTAACAGCCGATGGAGCAGAAATAAGTTTCAAAATGAGCAAGGGCCAAAGAGATAAATATACAACACCATTCAGATAAAAGAGAAGCTAAAGGTTCGTTCATAACTCTTACAGACGATCTTCAAGCCAGGAGGAGCACCTCCCTTTCTCAATTAAAATATAATATAATAATAAAAACAGGTCACTTTCAATCTTAGTTTATAGTCACCCCTTGTTACTGAGAAAAACAAGTGTTACCAAGGAGGGAGGGGTGAAGACAGAGTCCTTGTGTTGCAGTGGGATAATAATAACCAAAAATAAAAGAAGACCAAAGAATCCACACCAAGCCGTACATTCCTCTGAATGTTTGCTGTTCTTTAAGTCCAACCCAAGCCAAGCTCACACAAGACGCCGCTCTCCGTCTAACCCTTCGTCTCGACGCTCCTAGTGTCCGTTCGATTTGTCTGAGTTGAGCTCCTTGGTGGCGGGTAGAAAAGAGGTGGTGACGTGTGGAGCTGGGTCAGATCAAAGCGAGGTCTCCAGGCTGTGTAGTGGGCTCCCTGGGGCTGAGGGGGTTCCTGACTTGAGGCCCTCGGGGAGGAGGTGGTTACTGCTCTCCACAGCGTTATTGTTCTGGTTCGGGGAAGGAGAGACTGGCGTGGTGGGGGCAATGGTGGTGGCAGGCGAAGGTGTGGGTGAGGGCGGTGTGGGGGTAGCGTTGCGCGGGCTGGCCGAATTGCGCTTGGTGGGAGCATCGTCCTCCGCGTCTGTGTCATCAATGAGGGGGATATGGGGCTCAGAGTCCTCTATCCGAAATTCGGGGTGGGTCATAAAGTTGTGGATGGATGATCGCGACTCTGGCTTCTCCAACCCCTCATAGAGGGAGATGGAGCTGCGGAATGCCTTCACCACTCGGATCTGGAGGGAAGGAGAAGGGACAGGGAGCAGGAAAGGTGTATTTAGTCACATTCGGTAATGATAAGAGTGCGCCACTATTTTAAAACCTGGAAACACCACAGATAAAAACCACGGATTTAGGTTTTACTGGGCCAGAATAGGTGAGTTTTTAGGTGCTTCAAAACCAGAAATCTGTGAGGGGGTGGGGGACGACTCCCAGAGAAATGTGCAGGTGTGCTGTTATTTCTAGTAGTAAAGTTTTACACTAATCTGGTAATGAATAGTTGTCTCCAACCATCATCTACGGTTCTAGTTGTATTTTAATGTATAAACAGGAGCAGCCCATATTCTTTCATTTCTGTCTCTCAGTGAATATAAAAATACCCAAAGACTAAAAATGAAAATGTATACTAAATAAAAATCTAAGTGAACACTAAAGATTAATATCGCCAATAAAAAAAAAAAAATGGTCTCAACTTTCTACGCTGCAAGAAAAGTGGGGGTTTTAATGTAAGCAGCACTGTGAATTGCTGCAGAAGTGCAGATTAATGACAGCTTATAGGAAAATCTTCCAGGTGGTGTACTGTATCCAAGTGCAATTTGGATTGTTGTTCACCCTCTAGAAGCCCAGGAGGGACAGTGACATGTAAACAGCAATGCTGTAAGCTATACAACTCACCGCTCCAGAACTTACACCTGTTATTATTGGTATTGCAGACATTTCAATTTGAAGCGTTCCAGAGATATTGCTTTAAATCCCAAAGACAGATGTATGCACAGACTGTACATAAGGAGTACTGTTTCAGAGTTTCCATCAGGAAAGTTGTTATATCCGGTGGCTGCTGTGGCCTGTGTGGGTGCCTGTGTTTAATGTTGCACTCCACTATCCTCCTGCTACAATGCTAATTGCCTGGTGACTCAGAACTCTTGAGTCCCATATGTGCAGCACTGCACAAAGGAGGAAAGATAAGGGAACCCAGGGAATACATTTCCCACTTCCAGCAACATGTATTGTGTAAATACTGTGTGTACGTCTGTACACACACACACACACACGTACACACACACACACGTACACACGCACACACGTACACACGCACACGCACACACACACACACACACACACTCTTATTGACCATAGTAGCTGTACCATAGTAAAAGGTACAATGGAATTAAGCTAATGAATTAGGACAGTTGTATGCACTTGATGGGAGCTGCATTTTGGAGCTTTGTTTGGGATCAAATCTTGTTTTGGGAAGTCAGAAGTAAGGAAAGGAGGAGTGGGTGAAGTAGCACGGTATAAGCTAAACAACCCAGCTACATCAGCACCATCTATAGACTGTGTGGATGCATTGCACAGATCAGATGCCTGTTAATTGGTGCTAATAAATTCCACTCACATAAAGACTTTTTTGAGATAACTGCACAAACGCAGATTTTGGTGTCAGCGAAGCCAATAACTTTGATATTGTCTGGGTAATGCATAAAGTCCACTCAAACCAGCCTAACAATAGTAAACAGCCTCGTACAGTTACTGTGACAGGGAGAACAGTTCAAATCTGATCTGGTCTTTGTACCAGCTTATTAACATGTTTATTTCTTCCCTAAAATTGGGGATTGTTCATAAACTATGTGCTTTTTTGAGCCAGCCTCCACGCTGCCATATGAAGTACTGCATTTGCATTTTGCAATTGCACAGTAATTTAATCTTTATGCCCTATTTGGGGCGAAGGAGAAGGAGCGAATGAAAATATAACGCTTCAAGCCATCACTGTTCCATAAAAGGCTTTCAATTGCAATCTGATGGGCTGGACTGATCAGATGTGCGAAGTGTGCAAATCGAATGCTGGTTGAATATTAAAGACTTTCTGAGAGACAGAAAACCTAAATCTGTTGGAGACAAAACCTGAAACTAGTCTTAAGAGTAATTAAAAAGCAGCTTCAGGAAATCGGTCAATATCTCAGGGAGAGTACAAACCAGTTTCAAACTTGATGCAATGTGTTTTTTGTATTAGTATTTCACAAAACACTTGGTAGAGTCCTGTGTCTGATTAATTAAAATGCAAAAGGGAACCAAAAATAAATAAATAAATGAAATGAGGGGAATGGCGTTCTTTCTACAAGAACACACCAAAAGAGAAAATAAGGGATAGAAGCTGGACACAAGAAATTACTGTTGTTGGGCATGCTGATCAAAAAGTAAGGAGAGCTGGAGACAAAGAGAGTGAGAAAAGAAAGGAGTGGAAGAGAGACAGAAAGAGAGAGAGACAAAGTAAAGACTGAGGGTGAGAGGCAGAAAGAGGAGAGAGACAGAAAGACAAAAAGAGGGGTGGTCAGTTATAGCTTATGCTTGTGGAGTTAAAAAAAAAGAAAAAATAAAAGAAAAGAAAGAAAGCTGCAGCAGCCAAGCATGTCTACAAGCTGGTATACATGTCAAAAACAGCACAAAGAGAGAAAACTCACAAACGAGACCAGAGACTTTGAACCCATGCAGAGCGCGGCGCTACCTTGTGTTCAATGGTAGTAAACCTTTGAGTATAGCCCATGACACATTTCACAGAATCTAAAGAAGAATACGTGGGGAGTCAGTGGTATTCATTGTTTTTAGGTCATTTTGGCAGCAACCTGCCCTTTGGACACATTTTGCCAACAAACAAGCTTTCACACACAGAAAATTGTCCAAATATTTTAAGGAAACCTGAAAGGAAAATATTAGGTTAATAATGAAGAATCCATGCCCACAAGCACCCATAAGTGTCAGGTCCAGAGATCTGAAGAAGTCGCACCTAAAAATAGAACTAAATGTTGCTGCAGCACTGCATGATTTGTCAATATTGCAGAGGCAAAAACAACATCGGCTCTGCTGTTGATGTGCCTGAGAAAAATCCCACAAGTTTACATTCAAGAGCACAGTCATTTATTCCATTTTACTCTTTTTGTGACATCTGTAAAACATTTAAAATTCCCTGCTCGTCAGGTGGTGTGTCTTTAAACTCTGAAAGAGAAAAACAAAAAGTGTCACTGTCAGCAGGCACAGGGTCGAAAGGAAGGAGTTTGGAAACACCACCATCAAATGACCAAATCCAGTCTCGGCACAGTGACCTTCCTATGTGAGCGGATGAATAGCGTGATGTTAAAAGGCAGTGCATCCAAAGACACCAGTAAATTACAGCTTATTACCACTTGATGCTATTGCGGCAAACCATTTCTTCTGGAAAAGCCAAGGTCTTATTTTCACCACTGACATTCAGTTCGTGTCTACTCTTTTAGACCGTGATCATGGGCATATACTCAAAACATTTACCTAGCTAGGGACTAGAGAGCTGCGACAAAGACCCATGAGTGCTACAGAGGCACAAGGCAGACTGAGGCAGCTGCAGACAAACCTGGAGACTGTCAACCCAGAATATAACTTGTTTTTTTTTTGTTTTTTTTTAAATCATAGTAAATACACATCACCCCCCCGAAATAACAGTAAACCTTGTTCATTTCTGAGACCAAAGCAGAAGCAGAACAGAAAACATGATGACACAGAGATAACACCTCGACAGTAGAAGCGACCTGGTTACAAGGTACATATATATAGAGCAGTGTTATCGAAGCAATATGGAAGATGTGGTTTTGAGGTCTTTTTTAAAGAATACAGGGGAGAACATTAGGAGAAGCATGAGAGAGGAAAAGTGTCAACGTTATGTGAGAAGAAGAGTGGAGAAGGAAGATGTTAGAAGAAGAAATAAAAGTCTCATGCACTAGAGGAGAACACGCACTCACACCCCACAGTGGCAGAAGCGGTGTTGGCGGCAGTGGCAGAAGTGGTAGTAGTAGAAAAGGCTACATGTGTAGGGCTAGAAACATTGGTTACATCGTGCTGTTGTTGGCTGGAGTTGGAGGCCTGCCGCCTTAGAGCCCCCTGAAAGGAAGTTCCACTCTGGAACGCACTCACTACATCCATCTGCAAAGAATCAGACAGCGTGACAGGAGAAAAAGCCCAGAGGAAATAAAAACACAACACAGCCAGAGGAGAGAGAGAAAAGAGAGAAAAATAAAGAAAAGGCACCAGTAACCATAAGAAAAAAATGGCACTTTGAAATTGGATTTAGACATTATAATTAAAAGAGAGAGGAAAAAGGGGGACGGTTGGGTTTAAAGGCACTGATCGGAGGGAGCTCTTACTCCAAAAATCTGACCTCACTTTCACTCTTTTCTCTGCAGATTCCTTCCATACTTCCAGCTATAGCCATGCCAATACTCTTTGAACATTCAGCTGTTCTATCGTGCCGTCCATCCAATCCAATTCACTTGCTTCTCATCAGTACCTTCAAACTAGTTTTAGCAGATAGAGTCAGACTGAGTCAAATAAAAAACAAAAACATAGGCAGAGGACCCTGCTTTAGCTCAGAAGCAGAACAGAAAAATTAGAGAAAGGCTTTTTTTTTTTTTTAAGGGCACAAGCCATTCTTTAGGAATGCCAAGAGAAAGAACAAAATAGATTTTAAGCTGGAAGAGCAGTAGAGAGTTAAAGGGTTTATGGCTTTTGATTCCCTTGGTGTTGGGGTGTGGTGGTGAGTGCTGCACGTGAAACTGCTGAGACTTGTCACCTGAGTTTGGATGCGATTGAGGCCTCGGAACCACAGGATCTGGCCTCGACGAAGCTCCCGTTCAGCATGGTCGATCTCATCCATGTCCTCCAGCTCCTCCAACTCTTCATCTGGGATCTCCTCTTTTTGGGTGCCATGGCCTGCTGTTTTCAAGAATTTTAAGCGGCTGGTGGGTATTGAAGAGATAACCTGGAAGACAATGAGGATACAAGTGAGCAACCGTGACTCCTGATGAAGTTTTAGCCCCCCGTGCAGTTTAATCATGGCTTGTTCTGCCGTGATTAAGTTCATCGCCGACATTAAGCGGACAGTGACCATGAAAATTTGATGGCCAGTTCAATAACATGCGGTTTGCTCTTGGGCTCCAAGCCCCTACCACTGCTGATGAACAGGAGGATCCTTGCACATGATCACATGCAGATGCTGTTCAGTCAATTTAACAAGAAGGCAGAAACTTTACTCCTCAAGTACTAGCCACAAAGATCACAAAGTGGAATGCAGATGAGTCAGACACATGTCTGGTGATTTTAAATCACACAATGTCATAATTAGAAGTTATCAGACAACCCCCCCCCCAAAACCAAACAACAACAACAACAAAAAAACAAAACAAAAACAAAACCCCCGACATTGCTCTGGACATTAACCATTGCTCTGGTCTGTTGGAATACAATCCACTACGAGGGTTCCACACTGTTTGGCTAATATACAAAACACACAAATCCATCTGGTGTAAAAATGGATCCATCCAGTATGGCAACCCCTTATTAAAAAGACAGCAGCCAAAACAAGCTTACGGTAATGTTACCCATATTAACTGTAACTGTACAGCCTGGTAACACTAAGGGTTTCTCCTAAATATGTATTTTCAAAAATATGTAATTCTCTGAGTCTTCAGCTTTTAAGATACTGAGGGTGCATTAAGAATCTACCGATGTGCCAAAAGATCCCAGTCGACTGTGTCACGCGGCCTAGAATTGAAGACTGCTGAACTCCATGCACCAACAGGTGTGTGAACACATGTTGTCAGCGTCTATTTAGGGGACCGACCGGCCTTTAAGGAAAAGAACAGAGCAATCGCTGCTTTGGAACCAACAATCTTGGTATTTATTCAATTCAGTTCCTCAACTCTCAGCTATGTGCTTTTATAGGACTTGGTGTAGTCCCATTTATGTAAAGCTGGTGACGCCAGCTGGCAAAACTGATATTAATATAAGTGCTGATCAGGATAGATGTGAAACAGAACAACATTAAACATTCGTTATGAACCTCCAGTCATTACTATAAACTGCAGTGAGCGATCTCACCCTTCAATCCTTAGAAAAAAAACAAACTATATTTTTCAACTCATGTATAAAAGGTAAAGAACTCAAAAAGTATAATATTTAAATTTTAAAACATGTACCATTGAACTACTAATATTTTACTACATTTAAATAACTTTTCAAAATTGAAACAACTGCAAAAGAAATATCTTTAATAATCCCCTTAAGGTCAAATTAAAATAATAAAACTGAATAACTTTGATGACCACATGTGTTTGTGGTAGCTCCCCCCCCCCCAAAAAAAAAAAAAAAAAAAAAATCAATCAATCAATCAACTACTAATTACTAATCTCTTCACAGCAGCGGGACATAATGTACTGTTACACGTCTCTGACAACACCCTGTACCTACTAGATTAGAGCTGACACATGGGGGCAGTGTAATACCGCATTTCTGTACCTTGCCAACAAAAGGTAAAGCTCAGCTGTACTTTCATACCTGTCCCCACAGAAGAGAGCCGAAACCTAAGAAAGTACACCACAGCCACTGGTCAGCCGTCAGAGCCACGCAGCTGAATGGCTTCCCTCCAAACTGCACAATAACAATCTATGAAAAAAATAAAATAAAAAAAGGAGCAAGAGAGGGAGACTTAATCAAAGTGTAAAACCTCAGATTTCACCTGTGCAGACTGATGCTTCAGATAAGTCTTAGTCTACTGTACCTGAATAATAAAGGTACCCAAGACAATACTACAGAAGATTGGGTTGTTGAAGATGCCTTCAAAGACATTCCTTTCACCATGGATCTTACGGGCATTGATCTCATTGAAAAGCTGCATCATTACAAAGGTATTGAAGACAATGGTGTAGTGTTCTGAGGGTGGGGCATGGAGGGGTGCATTCCTGCCACTGTCAATGTCCAACAATTTCTCTCCTACAGAGGGGGGGGGAAAAAAAATCCCAGTCAAGAAAAAGAAAATCTTGGATAACAGTGCAGGGTACAGAGAACATCTTCAGACACAAAACCCTTACCAGCAAAGAGCAATGTAAAAATGATGACTAGCTGATAAACTCCATGACCCAGGATGTTCTTCATCATGGTGCGGGAGATAAGAGGTTTGTTGCGGCCGTATGGCTTCCTTAGCAGCAGGGCTTCTGTAGGGGGCTCTGTGGCCAGAGCTAGTGAAGCAAAAGTGTCCATGATCAAGTTGACCCACAACATCTGTACAGCTTTCAGTGGAGAGTCCTAGTGCAAGAGAGCGAGTCGCCAAATCAGGTTATGGAAATTCAGATCATCTATTAAACACATTTCGTGGTACCAAGTTAATTTCTATTCAGAGCATAACAGTGAAATAACTCTTCAGACACACAATAAAGAAAAAAAAAAACAAAAACAAAATAACCCTACAATATCTAGGTGCTAACCTGTGTGATGCACGCTCCTGTAAATGCTACAATGACAGCCACCACATTGACCGTTAGCTGAAACTGAAGGAACTTGGAAATGCTGTCATAGACGTTTCGACCCCACATGACAGCTTTAACGATGCTGGAAAAGTTGTCATCAGTCAGAATGATGTCAGATGCCTCCTTGGCAACATCTGTCCCAGCAATGCCCTGGAGACAACAAGATGATCATTAAGAATCTGTTCCAGCTATCCACCAAATATTTAACAAGATGATTAAGTGGCCTAAATTCTGACTTCTTTCTAGTTGACTGCCAGAGTTACCATGGGATACTGAGCAAGATGTTGATGTTAAGAATGACCCAATTTATATTTATGATTAAACCTTATTTAAGAAATTATACACAAGTAACTTACCATGGCGAAACCAACATCTGCTTTTTTCAAGGCAGGACCATCATTCGTACCATCTCCTGTCACTGCTACTACTTGTCTCTGTTCTGCCACTGTGCTATCAATAATACCTAGAACAGAAAAATGTCAAACTTTAAAATAAAACTGTTACAGCCTAAAAAAAAAGCAAAGGAAAAAAAGAAAAGAAAAAAAGGCTAGCAGCAAAAGAAGAAAACAAACAAACACATTAGTTCACTTTTTCCATTTTTACCCATGTCAGAGAAACATAACTACCTTTGACTAAGGTGTGTTTGTCTGTGGGGGAAGAGCGAGCCAATACTCGAAGTTTGGGCCAGATCTTGTCAATGCGTTCTTGTTCAATCTAGAAACATGAGACAAAACCCTAATAGAATCCAAACAGCACATCTGCAACAGTCTCTGAGGTACACTATTTTGCTGTGGCCCACCTCTCCCTTTTCATTGCGTATCCTGCGATTGAACTCTTTTCCCTCCACGCAGAGGAAGTCATCTCCAGGCTGTAGGATGCCACACTTGGTGGCGATGGCTCGAGCTGTGTTGATGTTGTCCCCAGTCACCATCCGCACGGTGATGCCAGCACGCTGGCATTTCCTGATAGCATCTGGAACCTGAAGGGAAGCACAAAAGCACAGGAAAAAGAAATATCACTAGGGATTATCAATATATATATATATGCTTGTAGGAAAGGATGAGGTTTGGAAATAATGGGCCCCTTCGTTAAAAAAAAAATATGAACCAAGCCCAGCACACCTGTCCAGTACATAAAATGGCAGAAAGCCAACTAAATGAGCGACAGTGAAGCATCTAGCAAGAAAATGACCTAACTTTTTCAGGCAAGGATTATACTCCCTCACCAACGCCCACAAACAGTTGCAAACACCACAGAAGCATAGTTGTGCTTTCTTGTCTACTTGTAGGATGCAATGTACAGATGGCGCCTTTGAGGTGTAGAAGTTGCCTGGATACGTTTGCATGCAAACTAGAGAATACTCTGACATCTGCACAGAGTCTCAGGTACACCCTGATGACAAACATTTATGTCACTCAGATCCTAGAAAACCCTTGTGTACATACAGATATGGAAATTATAAAATTGATATAACAAATGGGTCCTCCTGGAGTAAGCGCTCCCTTTAAAGAAATATTTTTTTTTGCTTTGCTTAAAAAGTGTGTGTGCCCAACAGTCCAGTAGATGAATAAAGCTGACAACTGACAAATAAAGCTCTTTTACATGTGCTTGTTAAAAGCTCAAAAAACTTAAACCAACAGCTTGAATCACTTTATTTTTGGAAACTAGATTCACCTCAGCTAGTATAGACTGCTAAATTAGGTCTATTGTTTTTACTGTTTACATTCACCCATCATTTATTTTGTGTTGCTTCCAAACCACCTGAAATGGAGTCATTGATGTGGCTGAGTTTAGTTAAAATGGTTGGTCCACAAATTGAGTGCAAACTCTGCAAACAGCAGTTTCCATAGAACTGTCAGCCAACTAGAATTGACGTATTCTAATGTTTGATCTAATTATGGTTTCTTAATGATAGACACATCATAGTGTCACCAATTCCAGCAATCTCCCAGTATCAGCAGTGTGGCAGTTTCTCCTTCATACACGTTTGAACAACAATCATTCTAAATACTTCTTTTTGAGCGCAACTTTGCAACTAGTGAAGTTGTTCAATGTGCCACATCAAGCAATGGGTTCTGACTCAAAGCCAAAAGACGGACCTTCAAATGAAGTGCAGATAAATACTCTACCTTTGTAGACAGCTTCCTTACTAGCAATCAAACAAGTGAAACTGTTTGTGCATAAACTCACTAACATTAGTGTAGCCACTAACCTCTGGTCTAACAGGATCTTCAATGCCAACCACACAGACGCAGGTTAGTCCACTGAGGATATCATTTTCATTGTCCCAGTCAGGCTCCCCATCAGAAGCAGGAAAATCTCTGTATCCAAGGCAGATTGTTCTCAAGCCCTCTGAGGCCATGGGCTCGATCACTTTCTTAACCAAGTCATCTCTGTCCCGTGGGCGGAACACCTTTGGCTCACCATTAGCTGTCAAGATTTTATAGCACCTGAAATGTGTAAAGACGACACATTAAATCATAAATGTAAAGGAAAAGAAAGAAAAAGAACGTGTAGGAGGGCGAAACATCCAAAGATGAAAGCCATTAATGGCTTGGAGTTAAGAAACATGGATAAAGACAGAGATAGGTACAGACGCATAAATGTAAAAAATGTCATTTAGACTTAATAAAAGGGTAAGAGAAGAGGAGAAGACAAAGCATTTGAATGGTGAGCTGCAGCAGTAAGAAGTCACACTAAGCCCTCTGTGGGTTAAAAAGAAGCCTGCTTGGTTAAGAGGCTTACAGAGCTGTTACCGGCTCATTTTCTCAGTGCCTGTTTTTAAGTCACAACGTAAGGGGCTTGGGTGGGATGCACTTGAACTTCTTAGCTGCTTAAGCCATTACACATATCATTTACAGCAAAGTCTGGCCAGCCGAATGAGTACAAAAAAAAGAGCTATGGAACAACCTTTCATTTAGCTGATCAGACATCCATGATTTCATGCTTCTTCAGTAAAGAAATCATAGAGGAATTATTATCTAAGAGGATAATATTAAACCATACAATCCCCCAGCCAAAAAAAACAACAACAAAACAAATCATAGAAAAGCAGAACATGTGAACGAACATGAAAAGTGAAAATGTCTCTTACTTTTTTAGGAGAATTTCTGAGGCTCCTTTGCTGAACATACGGTAGCTGCCGTCAGCCATCTTTAACACAGTGCTCATAGACTTGCGAACTGAGTTGAAGGTGTAGACCTTGTAGAGTTTCTCTTCAGGAATCTCGTTGCGGATAGCCTGGTAGTCGCGTTTTAACTCAGTAGAAAAGCCGAGCAAGGCACATTCGGTCTTGTTACCCACCTGTCGTGGCAGACCCCCTTCTTTCTCTGGAGGCTAAAAGAAAAAAAAAGAAAAAAAGAAAAATGTGAAGACAAAGTTAATGTGCTACACAGTCAATTTTAGAGGTACGCTGCTTTTTACAAGCATACCATGATTTTAGTAGTGTAGGCGCAGTTGACTGCAATGCCCAGAATCAGGATGTCTAAAGTGGAGGAGGGGATGTTCTCTGGTTCAGGGACCTTCTTGTAGTGCTTTTCAGCGATGTAGGCCTGCACCACAGTCATGCGATTCATGGTGAGTGTACCAGTCTTGTCAGAACAGATGGCAGTAGCATTTCCCATAGTCTCACAGGCATCCAAGTGACGCACCAGATTGTTATCCTTCATCATTTTCTGTAGGAAGATAAAAAAAATAAAGTCTGACAACACTGAAAGCTATATTTTCTATAATGAAAACATTTTATTTTTGTTTCATGAAATAAATGTGGTGAGATTTTACAACTGAATGACTAACTCCTTGATTAACTAAAGCCCTATGTTGGCTAAATAATACCCTAAAGCCAAGTAATGATCCCCTTTCCTCAAGTTGTTAACCAGATTTTAGCAGCTTGATCTTCTAGTTTTAATAGGCTAAAGTGTAAGGTGGTTAGTTCGTGCACAGATCACTTGGCTAGGAGTCTCACCTTAACAGAATACGCTAAGGAGATTGTTACAGCAAGTGGCAGGCCTTCGGGAACAGCGACCACAAGAACAGTGACACCAATGATGAAGAACTTCACAAAAAATTGAATGTAAACAGGTGTGCACTCCTTAACCCAGGATAGATTCTGGATCCAGAAGGTATCCACTACAAACAGCACCACCAGGATGATAACAGTGATGGCTGACATAACCAGACCTAGAGGCAAAACACGAGAGAAAAGAAAGATGTTAAGTTATATTCCTATCAGGACACATTTAGCGGTATATTGCTTATAGTGGGTGTAATTGTGATTATACAATATAAACAGTTGGAGACGTACAACCCAAAAAAAGTTGGAGTGAACACAAGGGCATGAGAGTACAAGCACATAAAATGTTTTACAATCTACAGCACTCAGCTGTGCCAGAAACGAGAGATTTTGACTGACTCACCTGCTTTTCCAATCTGTACTGCTAGTTTGGTCAGTTTTCCCTGGAGAACAGACTTCTCTTTCTTTGGCAGGTTGGCTTTCTTCTTCTCCTCTGCATCTGCTCCTTCGTCACTGTTCAGAGGCTGCATTTCCATTGCAGCACCATCCTGGGCTTTAGCTGCAGCAGAGAAAACAAGACAAGGTTGTTAAAAAGGGCCTGGCTATTCCAAATCTGCACTGGCCATTACTGGTGCTGAGTGTTTTAAATAATTATATAAAGGAATACTGTGTTAAATTCATTTAAGAAAGACTCTAGGATTTATGGAAAAAGCAACGGCTGAAATGAAAGTATGCTGATTTGTCAGTTATGATTTGTCAGTTATGAACACAGAGTATTCATTCACGATCAGGTGCCACGTCAAGCCTACATTTGAATATTTGCTTCCAATTTGCAAGACCAGAAATAAAAACTGCATTCTATAGCTGTGGGTGAATGAGGTTGATACAGGTCAAATAAACGTATTCATCTCTCTGGTAATATTAGAAAACTCGAGAACAGTTTTTATATTTCGTGTCTATAGCATATAATCTAGCTCAACAACAGGCCTGGACTAGATTTCCTCTGCCCCTCATAAAATATCTGTTTATCTGACTTTACAGGTAACAAGTCAGAGCAAGTTGATTGAAACGGGATCACAAAAATTGCTGTATGATGAGAATATTTAGAATATATAGAGCACTGTATCACAAGTTAACTGATTAAATAAAATCACTCAAAATTATAGCATGCTTTTTTGCTTCCCTGTTATCCCGGGAACTGTGGAAATGTCACTGTAATTATGTTTGTGAGCTGACGGCACAGAAGTTAGTTGAACGATTTTGAATTATTTACCATACTTCCGCCAAGAGGTTTAAAGAACAGGTTACCTAGCTAGTGACAGATCTATTTGAGGCATCTCCTACTCTTCCTCCTTCTGCAGGTAAATTCCCATAAACCTCTCTTCTCAATCTCCCTCAGGGCCACTTTCTGTTCCTGCAGAACTAATGGGAATACCATACCCACATCTAACTAGGTAACCTTGGACACACAAAGCCTCTAATGCCAAAAGGAGGAGAAGAGGCAGCTGGCAGGCCAGCAGGGGCTGGTCTCTGTCATGTCACGCACCATGATAAAATCATTAGCTTTCCTGGGCACTGATGCTATGGCAGTTCCTGCAGGACAACTGAAATATTCTCTTAACATTTTAAAGTCTTAAACAAAGTACACAATTCTTTTAAAGCATGGGGAGCCCTTGTCCAATTTGGGGATACTAAAGGCTCTATTTATGGTACAATGGTATGGACAATAGCACGGTATTGTGTGCGAATGCATGCAGCAGGAAGCAAGAGCACTGGGCTACTGCAGCTGCTGTGGACTGTGGCTTGCTCTGCACTTACATGGTCGGTGTAATCTCAGTCTAAAGGATTACTGCTGATTCCTGGCAGGCAGAGGGAATCTGTGCACAAGGGACCAGCGCCAGGGTTGTGGTCACAGACCCAAGCACTACTGATCATAGTGTCCCAGCAGAACAAGGCTGGCTCGCTGGCTGAGTTACCACTAAAGAGTCTCATTATCATTGTTATCGGTCTGAAATTGCACCAGTGCAAGTCTCAGAGTTTGACTCTGAATAGTTCAGTCTGGGACATCAATAGAAATTAAAATTGAGGGGGGCCTGAGGGAGAGTCAGAGAGAGATGGGTGGGAAAGCAGATGTTCTGGCCCCAGAATTGTTGCATGGCTTTAATCTCCTCATCACTAATCGCTATAACTGGATTCAGTAGCACCTGCTGCTCGAAGCGCAATGTGCCAGGGAAGGACGAGAAAAGAAGAGAGAGAGACAGACAGGAGGACCAGACAGTACAATGGAGAGCCAAGAACAGCCCGTACTAAGTATATGCTGACATAGGGTCATGCAAAAATATGTAATTCCTCATTACTTGCATGAAATTATGGTGGCCAATTATTAACAGACTGGGGCTGTAACCTACCCTCAGGACTGTTAAATGGGGAGGGACCCACTGATGAAGCTAAAGGCTAATACCTAAATGTAGGCACTAAGCTGTATGGCAATTACATGTGGTTAAGCATGTCAGTCTGTGTGTGGGCAAGTTACTCACCTTTCTTTCGATTTTCTACAGAACCATCCTGCTTCTTATCTGTAGAAGAATGCAACACAGAGTTAGGAACATAAGGATTTTTAAGGATTAAATAAACTAATTAATCGTATAAGAAAATACTGATAAATGTCTCTTTATACAGTAATTAGACCAATCATTCTTCAAATTACTGATTTAAATGAGGAGAACTCTACCATCATACATAAGATGAGCTACAAATAGCTGATTTGGTTGGCAGAAAATAAGTCGTCTACTGTGACCCTCTGACAACTTCTAAAAGTTGTTTTATATAAACAAAGGTCAAATCAGTGCTTTTTGCATTCATACAAACCCTGCTATAACTACATTTTTCTGCAGATTATAAAACTAATGGTAAAGACAATGCTCTTTGTGTGTCTGTGTTTGTGCTGAGTTTATAAGGGCAACAAGCAGAGGAGCATACTGACTTTTTTTCTGTTTCTTCTTCTCTTCCTTCTCCTTTTTCTTTTCCTCTTCGTCGTCATCATCCTCTTCCCCGCCTCCGAGTAAAGTGAAGATAATTCCAGTTTGAGAGTTGACACCCACAGCAGTGACCAACATTTTCCCTGAGCCTTCCATTACATGGGTGCCTTTGAACAGAAGAAGGAAAACAAAGTGTCAGTAAAGGACATCAGGAAACAGTACCTAGGATAAATGCCCTGGTCTTTGTTTCCATATGACTTCTTTCAGGTTTCTGTTTAGACACTGGTGGCAGCTTTGTCCCTGCCGATCCTTATTTGTTCCTTTGAATGTTTCATTTTGGTTCAGTGAAAATTTTACGCTAGATTCCTTTGTTGAGAAGGTGGTTTAGCCAGGCTTTCAAGCAGTATGATGATATACACACGAGAAACTAAATGCAGGTTTTCAATTGCAGGCAACAAATACAAATGAATAGTGCACTTGAAAGTACAGAAAGAATAAGTCACTACTGCAGATACACTCCAAACCTTTAATCAACAGCCTTTAATCAAAAGCCAATTGTTAGTCTGTGTGAAATAATGGAATTCTGAGAGGCTGTAACAGTGTTGCATCTCTGGCTCTCCATTCCTCTTAAGACACGATTTAAAAAACAAAAAAACAAAAACAAAAAAACCCACACAGAAACATCAAATATCAAAAAAAACACGACAAGCTAAAGTCGGAGTAAAGGAGCGAGACCCACGAGGCTCTGACAGCCGAGGAGTGGAAAGCATTTAAAGGTTCCTGTGTTAATTAGAAGATGCTTTTCTTTCATTCGTGAGAAGGGATACGGGCCGTGCTAAGGGAAATCAAAGAGCAGTAGCGAGGCAGCGCATAAAAACACAAACACACATGACTCCTGTGCCTTGGAGGTGTGCCAGGAGAGAGCTAGATGAACTAAACAAAAGTGTTTCTCCCTACACACGTTTTTCATGACAAAGCCATGAACTGTATTTAAAAGGGCGTTGGGGACATAGGATGGACAGAGAAAAAAAAAAAATGCTGGAAATGTTGAATGGCTGATAACTTCCGGCACTGAGAGGCAAGATCAGGAACCAATTCAGTTTCAAACATGTTTTCAACAGAACACAAGTTTCATGCTGAGCTGAATACTAACAAATATCTGATGGTCAATTATTTTCAATTTCTGGATTATAACAGTTTATTTATGAAGATCCAGATGATCACCTGTTCTTACTGATTTCAATAAAATTTTGGATCATTTATTCAGTGCAATGAGTATTCCAGAAAATTTCTTTTAAAAGCAGTTCAATATATTGGACAACATAATCTATAAAACCTCTGAAAATTCGGTTCTTCCCAGTACGAACCAGTAAAAGGAGAAGGTTTTAGGTTCATGTTACCTGATAACAGCATTGGATCTTTTTCTAGTGTTTTCTTGACGTGGTCAGACTCCCCTGTGAGTGAGCTTTCATCGATCTTCAGATCATTGCCTTGGATGAAGACTCCGTCAGCAGGCAAGAGGTCACCTGAAACATTACAAAGCCAAACAAGCCTTTAATTTGGAGAAACAACATCTTAGTAACAGTTTAAATTGATGCCTTAATCACAGGCTCTCAAAGGTTCTATGACTAAGCGAGTCATGTGAAACACTTTAGTGCTCGTCTCTTCAGAGGTTAGTGGTTATGTCAGTAATGTTCTTTTTACTGGTTTATGGATTTAAATCATTAGTGAGCTGGCTGTTGCGTTCCTCCCACGACCAGGAAAGTTAAACTTGAAGAGAAATCCTCATCTTAATCTGTGATGAACTAAAACTAAAACCTTGAACCAAGGATGACCTAAATGTGCAGTACTGTTTTCTTAATGGCCCATATAATAAACATCTTAATAAAACATAGGTTCCGCAATATATCGACATTCTTAACAGATTGACTTTTTTTAACCATCAAATAAAGGCTTATGTTTAACTGAGCTCTTACCGTATTTTACTTGTGCAATGTCCCCAACCACAATCTCCGCCACAGGAATTTGAATAACTTGTCCTCCACGGACAACAGTAAATTTCTGTTCCTGCTCAATGCGGCTCTGGAGGCCTCTAAATTGCTTTTCTTTACTCCAGTCATTGAATGCTGTTACCAGCACCACACAGATAACTGACAGAAGAATGGCGGCACCCTCGATCCACCCCGCCTCTGCCTCATTTTCATCCCCACCACCACCAGCAGCTTTTCCACAGTCTGAAGGAGGATGGGGAAAAAAAAACATTAACATACAAAGCATAAACTTAACACATCACCTCATGGCTCTGAGAAAAATAAATGCCATCACATCATTACATGTCACTGCAAGTATCACTAAATATATTTAACAAGAGACATAATTAAGACTTCAAGCATAAGTAATATCTAGAAAAAGAAGATAAAACATAAATGTAATGAATGGTTTCTTACTTTCTCTCTCTGCATCTGGAGGTTTATAAAAAGAAAGGCCTAGTGAAACTATGGCTGCCACTTCAAGGATAATCAGCGTGACATCCTGTAGTGCCTCCCACACTAACTGCAAGAACGTTTTGGGCTTTTTGGGAGGTATAAGATTTTCCCCAAACACTGTTTTCCGCTTCTCAATATCTGCAGGCTGTCCGCTTAGACCTAGGTAGGCAAAGACAGATAAACAAAAGAAAAACAAAACAAAACTGTTAATTCATAAAATGTTAGTTTTAAACCCATCAGGGAATTTCACACAAAACAAGAAATATTTATTCACATCAGAAAAAAAGAAAAGAAAGAGAAGGCCTTAATTATGTGTCACAAAATTGGAGCACAGATGGGTGAGTTGCTGCAGTTCACAGGGGGGGAGCGTGTCTCACTGAAGTAAGAGTCAGTGAGCTGTGCTCTCATCAGCAGGCCTCCAAAAGCATAATTTCCAAAAGGATTCAGCATTTCTGACAGGACACTGTGGAGGACACAATGCCTGCAAATAATGACACATTCTGTGGGTATGTCAAACATTTTCACCTCTTTCAGACACGCCAGGGAATGTGAAAACTATGGTCAAATCTAATCCCCCAAAACTGCTGTTTTCAACACAATGACCAACTGACTAGGGGTTGAATCAGCTATGGACTCACAGGTGCCTATACTCACACACTACTGTCACGTTATGGAGTCATCTCTCTGATACATTACACGTCTGGCTGCCCTGAGACCCAGTCATCCATGTGTACAGAGAAGGAGCTTTCTGCAGCAACCCATTCAAATGCCTCAACATTCAAGGCAGTCAAATATTCAAAAGGGCCTTCGCACATTTGATGATGCATGACAGTTTTTCAGTTCTATTCATGCTAGCTGTGTGTGGGTGGGGGTGCAGACTGGATGGAGAGAGAGAGTGTGTGTGTTTATGGGAAAGAGATGGAGCAGGCCTGAGGGCTGGGGAGGAGTGACTGTGTGAAACTGCTACTGACAGGCAGATGGGGGTGGGCGGGGGTGGTCGGGGGTGAGGGTGTAAAGGACCGAGACTATTAAAGAGTGGAGATGCTGATGGCTAAACGGAAGCTGTCCTGGCAGTATCAGCGTATTAACAGGGAAAAGGATCAGCAGGGCATGGAGAGAAAGAGGAAACGACAGAAAAACAGACAAGCAGACCAGAGGCATAATAAAAACCATGACACCGCCTTGGAAACTGAGCACAGTGACAAGAGCACAGACAATAAGATACATTGTTCTTCTGATCTCATGCTGTAGGCACAGACGGTTCAAACTGCTGATTCTGATGGGGTTTTCTTTTTTATTAATATTGGAGAAGTCAAAACTCCAGCAACACTTATAGTGTTTAGAACGTCATTGTCAGGCCAACACTTTTTTGTGTGTGAACACCGAGACTAACTACTGTTTCAACAATAATGTTCTATGCACTCATGTGTTCCTGGAATTCTCCATTAAGATTTTACCCCCTCCCTATTTTGTTTTGCTTATCCAATTCGGGGGTGTAAGGCAGCTGGAGCGTAACCCAGCTCTCATAAGGTGAGGGGCAGAGTACACACTGGGCAAGTGGCAGTCTGTTGCAGGGCTAACACAGAGAGAAAGACAACTTTTTACACTTACATTCACACCTACCAATTAACCTAACTCCATACATGTGTTTGGACCACGAAAGGAACCTGAATACCTGGAGAGCAGTGCAAACTCCAGGCCCTTGTTGGGCCCTGGGTGAAAGAACAGTGAATGGACGTGTCATTTGTGGTCATTTCATAACCAAATATCTGTTGAATTAAGAATTTAATCTCTGTAGACTCTTCTCTGGAAGAGTTTGGAAATACTTTGGATTCATTGCAAGTGATGTTGTGAGTGTTTTACGCACATCCATCATGCAGGTACAAAGACCTGACTGAAAGACCTTAAATTTTGCTTCTAGGAAATGTACTCTGATCAGGGAATAAACACCTTATTTAAATGAAGACGTTTTAAATAACAGATATGTATCATGATATAAAAGTGATACATCGTGTTGATTTCATTTTCCATCAAGTTATGGTAGTCCCACCAATTCTAGATTTCACTAATAATCTAGAATAGATCTAATGCCAATAAAGTAGCATATAAAATATCAGAAAACGGAGTTAACATTAACACCAAATCTCAAAGTAAATGCTTTTTCCTGTTAAAATATAAACCTTGATATTTGTTTTGTGTGTGTCAGTTTGCTAACTGATGACATAATTGGGCTCTAAAAACATTTTTTTTTAAAAAGGCTTGAATTAAATACATTTACAGTTGATTTGTGTTTTATCCTTGCCAATTCATTATAATCAGTGAATATAGTAGGATAATGGTTGGGCTAAACTTTACTCCTGAATAAATTACTTAAATAAATAACTACAATAAAAAATGATGACTTCAGTGAACTGCTTCATAAAATTCCAAATTGTTTCCATTGATTTCAGATGCGAGTTAATTAAAAGAGGGTATTGCCGTTTTTTTTCCCCTCATTCCTACTCACCAAGCAGGTCAATAAAAACTTGTGTGAAGAAGAAAATAATCCTGTATTACTAGTTAAATGGTTAATTGACATTACAACCTAACACATACTTTTCTAAAAGAGGTGAGAAGAATGACTCACCACCAGCACAACACATTAAAAAAAAAATAGTGACTGGGTTTATCCAGCAAAGCTGACTGTTGCTGCTCCGTGGCTGTCTCTCACCATCTCCTTTAATTCTCTGTGCCTCTAATTAAAACACGCTGACAGCTAATACCCCACTCAACTTTACACCACATTTTCCCTTTGTATTATAGCAATAAATACAAGTGACAGAAGCCGATCAAGGTGTCATCTCTCCATTTGATTCACAAACAGAAAATAGGTTGGCCTTGGCCTCTTGCATCATTTTAGCCCCAGTGTGTCAAGCAGCTAATCATTAACCATTTAATTTGGATGCTTGTGCAAGCTGACCCGTCTGAGTACTGTCATTTTCAGTCATCAGTAAGAGGTCAAGGTAAACCTTTACCCTGGGTCTGTCACAATTAAATGAGATGGGAACCACAACTAAGCATCATTGACTCAACAAACTAAGCCTGAGAAATAATTCCAAACTTGCGTTTTTATGCACACAATCAAGAAAAGAGGACTTGTGATTGTTCACTGTACAACCTTTTGTAGATTAATTTGCTAAGGAGGCGAATCAAACCTGGTGAACTGTTTTACTGTGAGTAAAATGTATAAAAAGATTCTTTATGTTGCTAAAAGGTTAACCATCAACCTATTTACGTTAATATAATATGAAGCACATGTGAGTCCAATTAGGATAACTGGATTATGGGATTTCCATCACCTCTGCTTAAGTTAAGCCCCGTCCACATTTAACGTGCTTCATCATGATGATTAGTTGGTGGTTGACATTCCCGACTAGTTGAGCAGGTAACCACCTTGTCAAATTAATTAGCAGTTTTATGCATTCTCAAGGATGAGAAAAGTAATCGAGACCTTAAATGGTATTTTACCTGTTAATATAATATAATAATATTGTATGTATAATAGTTAATATAACCTACTATGGTAAGATCACTTTAGAGTTTAGTTGACAGTGACAGGTAGTTTGCAATTGAAACAAGAGGAGTAATCAAGATAGTTGAGATTACAATACTGATGAATAGTCATGTTAAACACGATATACTGATTGATTTTTTTTTAATGTCTTTTTTTTTTTTAACCAATGATTCCTTCAAGTTTAAATAAAAACACAAAAATAATTATAAATGATAAATAAAGAGTCAGGCCCTAAATAGGGGATGTTTTTTTTTTTTTAATGTCAAGCCTTTCTCAGAAGAGAAGCCATTCATCCCTGCCGGGATGAATGGGGTGCCTACGGGTGCAAGGGAGCCCCAGGCGGCAGCAAGTTTGTGTGCCTCAGGAGTCATAGGGAGAGCAACAAGCAGCCAGAGCTGACAGCCAGCTGTCGCACGCTGTGGAAAGATGAGCGGGTGAGAGAACCAGAGTCATCTGGACATAAAGGTCCTGCCTTTTTCTCCAAATTAGATTAATCTAAGGAAACCTTGTGAGTTTTACTTCCTGTAGATAGAGCTTGTTGACCGAAGGCCTACTTTTAGCCATGGGGCTTACGGGGGCAATAAAGAAAAGGAGTGCATTTCAGCTATACTATATGCTGACAGACTAAACCTCATCAATCTTCAAACTTTAATCTCAGTTTCTTGACTGCATGCCCTCTACCATTACACTGACGCAATCTAGCAACAGAAAGAGCTAAACATCTGTTAAACCACCATCTATATGGCAGCTCTTACAACAGCAGGTGTCTCCAGGACCGCAGTTCTCTGTGACAGCAAGTAACACCAATTCCAGGTACAGTGTAAATTTGCAGAGATAATCTTTTGTGTGAATCTAAAGTCCACTTCACACTCTTCAACAGACAAAAACCTATTTCCACTTCTTGTAATTTTACACGCCTCTTTCTCTTATAAAAAACACTAAAATAGGGTTGTTTATAACAGCCCTCATAACTATCATTTTAACAATTTCTTCCAAAAGCCTTTTCAGAGAAAATCATGAGAGGATTTTAGGTGTTGCTGCATGTAGGAATTTATCTGCTCTAAGACAGCGTTGATTAATAAACTGAGCATTGAGACTCTCAAAGGATATCATCATCCAATTTCTGCCCTAAAAAATAGAAATCTGTGGTACTACATGTTGATCAAAGTACCATCATCACATCACTCAGGAAATTTTGAGACTACAAATAACAAAAGGCACAGTGTCTAACTAGAAAATCAATATCTCCATAGTTTTACAGAAATGGGTTGAAATGAAACAGAACTCCTCTGCACACCTTTAGTAACTAAAGCAAAACAGGAAAATAATTGTGCTCATGTATCAGTTTTCAAGCCAGAAATGACTACATGTGTATCAGCACACTTCCTAATTTCTCGCTGAACTGAACCAAACCAAGCCTGAGAGCTGTTATAACCACTCCCAGGCAAAACGCTTCAGCATATCACTTTGAATTTAGACATGAAGACAAGATATGCAGGCTTCCTGAATTACAAAGAGAAAGACTACGACTTAACAGTCCGAACCTTGACACTGAATAAGGGGGTTTCCTGTTCAAAATGACAGATACAAATAGGCTGTCAGATTTTATAAATTAGATCAACTGGATGCATACCCTGGGACCCAAGTATCAGACAATGTGAAAATAGCAATGAACAAGGGATAACTGTGAGGATTACTGCCAATAATACTAATTTAAAGTGGCCATGACAATTTGATGAGTCTCAATATGCAGAGAAAATAAGCTACTTGGTTTGAAGAAAAGAAATGCTGTGGTTTTAGCAACTGTTATATACTGTGGCATGATATCACCTACACCCATTACTGCAGCTCAACACCTTCTTGCCCCAACTGTAATAACTTCCATCTCTAAGTGAAGATGACATCACTATATGTTTTTTTTTAGGCTTGACTAAGTCCCCACAAATACCAAAGAGAACAATAGCACCATTTTCACAAGCTGAAGGGCTGCTGTGAGCATTTAGTATATTTTAAAGCATAAACAAGACAGAGTTTCCTTTGAAACGTTATTGCTGACTATGATATCTAATTATGCTATCAGTGTGGGGAAAAAAGAAACAGAAGCAAAAATGAAACGGGGGGGGAAGTAAAGCATGATGTACAAGTGAAACCAGCTCAGACAGCTACGTGTATTAGCGAGATCGCTCCCTTCAACTCTCTCAGTAAGAAAATATTTTAGCACACACACTAAAACACTTGCCATCTAAAAAGACATCAACCCTTTCTAGCTTAAATGCCTCCACCTCTTTTTTTAGTACACTACAGTACGGTGACAAATGGGTTAAGGGTTAAAATTTGTCAAAAACCATTTTTCGTGCATTGTCTGAATAAGCTTTTGGCAGTTCTCACTGTCACAATTGAGAAAGCATAATTACATCTTTTTAAACTCACAGCACTGGCATGTTAATTATCAAAATCAATCTGAATCAGTGAATTGAAATCCAACTGAATAGGGAGCTCTCTGGTGGTCTATTAAGACTTATGTACAGACATGAAAAATAGCAGTCGTACTGCCACGATAAATTACATTTAGCCTCATGCAAATGGAGCTGGCTTTAAAGTCTTAGATTATGCAAACTAGTTAAAGCAGAGCAAGACATTAGTGCACATTCCTAACAGCTACATTTACTCAAACTTCTTTGGATGAAAAGAGCTTGGGAAGTGGAGGATTAGCAGAGGATTGGCTTCAGAGGTTCAAATAATGCCCACCCAACTAATTAGAAATCCCTTTTCAATTGTCAGGATCCTGTAATCTTAAATGATGGCTCAATTTCCCAAGCCAGGGACAAATGTGCTGATTGAAACAGTGGGTGTATACCAAGTGGAATGGGGATGTAGTCAAGCTCATCAGTACAGTCTTGTTTTAAAAAAAAATAAACCAAAAAAACCGTGCCACTTTAGCCCAATTTATTGAAATAAATTGGGCTAAAGTGACTGTTCCCTTTGAAACATACAAGTAACTTGCTTTCAGTCTCATCGTTTTGGACAAGCTGAAAATCTTAAAAGCATTTTAAAAACAAGACCGTTGATATGCTGGACACCAATGAAGGCAAAACAAAAGAAAAAAAAAAAGATCTGAAATGAAGGCTTAACAATGTAAACATGTCCCTAATATTCAGCTAACTTATCTTTTCATTTATTAAAATACAAATCAATACAGTAATAGGACTTCTTTGTGATTTATAAGGAAAAATGCAAAGCTAAGGGGCCTCAACTAACCACATTTTCTCTTTTTTTACAGCATACACTCAGCTGAGCAGAGGGGGAGGACAATTTACACAACAACCAATGTCACTCATGCTGAAAATATGACAGGACTCCATATTCACCAACATTACACAGTCACATGCATGTTTAGACAACTTGTGCTCCCTCAGCAGCTAAATTCCTATTCAGCAATTTTTCATTATAGTTTAGACAATGGCCCATTGCCTTTAGTAAATCTAAAGGGAGTTAGACAAACTGCACCGTGCACAAATGGCATGCGCAGTATTATTCAAGAGAGAGAAAAAAAAAAAGAACGTTTAAGGATTAAAGTAAGTTAATGGTACTTGCTCAAATAACAGTTGCTTTGCAGTTTTGTAAACGCTTGTATTTACCATTCTTTTGGTTTACTGAAGCTCAGGAGACTTTTACCTTGCACCGAGTGACTGCATACAAAGGACTGTTACAGTGAATATGTGGTGCCATTTTAATCTGGGATCAAACTGAAAATCCCCACAAATAAAGAGTTCAGTCAAGGTCATACTAGTGATTAGGCAGACTGTCTATAAAGGGAAACAGACAGAAGTAGCAGGGGGAAAAAAAGAAAGAAAAGATAGGCGCCATCAAAAGCAACCTACTTGGGTTTCACTATACCCTAAATGGAATTTTCCCCCCAATTCTTCTACTTATTAGCTTATGAATTTAATATTGAAGAAGACAGTCACAAAAGAGAAAGTCACTGCTTTACTACCAAGCCTTACAGAGTCCTGTTTTGTCCTCCACATGTGGGACATTTACCTGCCTGCAGACTGGTACTGTGCCCAAGCAAACAGCTGGTCTTTCTGAAACCTACACACATAGTCAGAGAGGTGAAAAGGGAGAAAAGGAGGGTGTGTGGGACATATCCACAGGCCTTGAAATAGAGCAGGACTGGCCCAGGTCAGAGCCAGTCTGCCTGGCCACCTGTCTGGTTTGTGAAAGCTTCCAAGGAAGTCATGTCAAGGCAATCAATAATGTGGATGACACACCTCCTAAACTATGTGTGCACCACATTGTCATTCCCAAAACTAAAACTGTCATGCTGTAAATGATCAAACTCAAATCATGTTGAGTAAAAGTGTTACTATACCATCTATTGGTGATGTTTTTAACCGGTTGCAGAGTCCTTGAATATCCCCATAATATTCCGCAATTTTGGTTACTGCCTCAGCGCTCCTCAGTTCCATTAACCCACGCAGTTCTTTTAGTGTGCAGCCAAACTCTCCATCATGGTTGGCCTCCACTATGGAGTTCTTCACCCCACTGTACGAGTTGTTCGCCATCTTCTTACTGCCTCCCCAGTCTATTGCAAAGTGTTGCTGCTTTGACTTGACAGCAGGGGTTTAAAAACACCCAAAAAAAAAAGGGCTGTCCTGGAAATTCTTAAATCCTCAAGAGTGTGAACACAGTGACAGTTCCCATAAACAGCCAACAGGCCCTTCACAGGCAGCTGGAGTCATATGCCAGGTAGAAGGGATATTATGAAACAAGCCATTTCCCTGGGAGAGCTGAGTTCCTATTCTTTCATGGTGACTGAGGATCACCCACAGAGCCAGAGATCACCATGCATCCAGATCTGGAAGAGAAGAGCAAACACAAAAAGAAATTTGTCAATATTTACACCAAAATGGGCCATTACATGAAGAGGGGGATTAAAATTCATTTACTGACATAGCACTTATGCTAACTAATATCTGGCCAGGAAAACATTTCATTTTCAGTATATAACCTACCAAGCTGGAGGCAGCTGAGACAAGTAGCTGCGTTATTAGCAGAACTGCCTCTAATCAATTGGCAAGAGATTCTGATTAGTTTTACTTAAGTTGCAATAAAATAATTTTGCCATCAAGATAAAACTCTTGACTAGTAATGAGCACTCTTTTTCTTGGTTAAAGCTTCTTGAGCATTATGTACTGGTTATCTACTGTTAACAGAGCTTCAACAACACTTTTACACATTTTTCTTGCCTCTTGCATGAGTTGGACTTGAATGAGGCATAAAGTGATTAAAAACAGAACATATTCAAACAATAACAAAATAATAACCATGTTAAACAATGTTAAAGCCAAAGCATGACAGTTCAACCAACTAACAGACCTCATGGACAAGCACAATAAACCACAAGACCATTTTCTACCTGCTTTTTAGTTATAATTCAAATTCATGTTTCTGTTTTTCCTATTAATATAAACTGTTCCTCATCTGATAAATAAGGATGTTTCCTGCTGTACAGGTTGTGAAAGGCAATTTTTTGAATTATGATAAATAATAGGCTTTGTTGTTGGTCTTCTACCTTATCTGTATTAATAAATAAACAAACAGCAGACCCTGATACAACATAAAGTCACTGTGTCAAATACAAATGTTGTTGAAAAGACATTACAAAGTGCATATCAAATCTTGAAGCCAGCACGGCAGAAGATCTCTCTATAATGACCATAGCTACAATGTGGAGCAAAAAAGATTAGTGCAATTAAACCAGGTGTTTACCTTAAGTTTATTGCTTTGCACTTGAAGGTATGCTCTGCGTAGTCAGCCCATTCTCCCCTGTCATTTTATACAGAAACGCTTGTTGGCAAGCTTTTACTGCACTTACAGTAAATTATTGGGTTACGTTTGCCTTCAGTAATGTTATCTTAACTTCTTTACAGAGATCAGAGGACACAGTGAACACATACACACATACTCTAAAACCAGGGACAGATGAGAGAAAATAAGCTGACCATAAAGGATAGAAAAACAGTACAAACTCTTACACCCTGCTGTAATAAATAAGTGCACAAAAATCAGGTAACACTTTTCACTTCTTGGGATAGGAGCATAAAGCCCCTTGTCTTTAAAGTCATTCCAGCCAAATTTGTAAAATTAAGATTTCACAGAGACCTGTTGTAAACAAAATGGGATTACTTCAATATTTTATCAAAATCAACAGAACCTTTGATCATCACATTCTAATCAGTCTATACTTGAGTCCAAGTGAACATTTAAGGAAGAATTCCTGGGCTCATAGAATCATACATGAGGACAAAGTGAATACATAATAACATCTTGCTTGCAATACCAGAAATCCTGCTACTGTGTTGTAAGCCTGAACATAAACACCACTTTAACATGATGCGAGGGATGTGAAACAGGCCTTCTGATCCATATGAGTAAGAAGTCTCATGGACCTGATAAATCTTTTTTTAACAATAGGGTTTTACAGGCACAGCATGGACCTAATGTATGAGGATGTTTTAGTCCCCGTTTTCTAAATCTACTTTTCCCAATTAATGATGAAAATCTTAAAACAAACAAACCCACATTAAAATCGATATTTTAAGGTAAACTGGGCATGTCCTTGACCCTATGCAGTTTGCTTACAGGCCACAGATAGGAGCAGTATATGTCACAATAACCTTGTTCAACCTGCATGTTAAACACTTCCTTGTGCTAGTTTTCAGCTTTCAGCCCAATCCTCATGTTTTAATCAGAAGAGAACAATTTGACCTGAATAAAAAGTCTTCTGGGCTGGATTCTTGACTTTTTAACTAACACGATTCAAAAAGTCTGGAGAAATGGGATCAAATCCAATCAAGTCTGCTCCTCAACTGGCTACCCACAGGGATGCACACTCTTGCGCTCATTATTTATCCTGCACACAAATATGTGTTAGAGCAGGTATGAAAACGGGACCATTTTAAAGTATGTGAATAACTCTGTTATTGTTAGTCAGCTCCAGGATAATGGGATCAGCTACGGCCCAGTACTCGATGATTTTGTTAAAAAGGTATAATGAGTCTTCAATTAAATGTAACTAAGACAAAATATATGATCACCGATTTTAGAAAGTGCACTCATACACAAGAGATCACGTCCATTATGAGTGAGGGAATGTGCTTAATCATAGAAATATCTCAGAACAATTATTGATTCAAAGCGAAACTGAAGCAAACTGTGAAGCTGTGTGCAAAAAACTAAACTCCACAATGATACAACCATGATGATTTCATTTAATCCTATTCTCACTGAATCCATTTTCTCCTTGTCCTTGGTGTCAGGTCTAAGACATTTATCTGTAAAGAACAGAAACTCATTCAAACAAATTGCGAGACCACCTGACAAACTAACTTATGAGCCACTGTTTGAGAGAAAGATTTCTAGCCCCAAACTGTTGAACAACACAGTTTAAAAACTGCTTCACTGCAGCAGCTTTCACTTAGATGAACAAATCCATAGCTTTACAATCCTATGCCAGGTGAATTCATTATTATTATTATTATTATTATTATGTTTTTATTAATTTCTTTAGTGTTTTGTATTACGCTTATCTGTGGTCTCTGTTTGTATTGAATATGTGCGTGCAAGGATGGATGACTCACTACTGCAGACCAAATCAACCTACGGGTATAAATAAAGTAACTTGAACCTGAACCTGCTACCCTTGAATATGACTACTACACTAAAAGAAGTATAATTTAAATAACTTCAAGTTTAGTCTGCCTGATGAAGAGCTTCTAATACAACATTACAGTCAAATCTTTTCGACTAAACACCCCTATTTATTCTAGACTACATCAGTCCCTTTGCCATTTCAACAGAAAGTCTCTCACAATTAAATTAAAAAACAAATCACAGTCATAAAGCCCCTGGCTTCCCTGCTGTGTGACTCCTGGGGTGCCGTAGTGAACAAGGGCCAACTGACTGATTACCCTAGGAAAAGCCTTTTGTTTAATCTAATTAAGACTATCTGTCGCATGAGGGACCTCCATGGTGCTCTACATGGGAGAGTCCATTCCAATGAGAGGCTGCTGTCCATTCAGTGTTAATCAGACTAATACAATGTGGCTCATTCACGTCAACCAGGTTGATACAAATATGTCTTGGAGAAGCTCAGATGAGAAAGCAACCTCCTAATAAAACTACAGAGGCTGAAGCATAGCAAGTGTACATCTGTTTTAGGAAAGGTTTGATTTCATTGATTTCTTCATTTCAGAAGGAACAAAACTGGATTTATGGCTGAGATCTAACAAGATGGGCCCAGTTTCTATATGAAATCACTACTATACTAAAAGCCATGTCAAACTAATCTTGCATTGCACAAGGAATCTGGACCCAGCCATCTGATCCATTAGGAAAGGCACCAGTGGGGGTACACGGGAACATTAAGCCATGTCTGGAAATAACACTGGGGATACTTTACTTGCTTTTTCTCACTTTCTACATTTCAAACAGTAACACAAATCACATTTGAAAGGAAACTTTTCATTTGTCTTTACAGCAAACAGGAACTCCAAATGAATGTCAAACTCAAGAAAGTGTTTGAACTCTAAACTGGGTAAATGTAGCCTTTATTATTGCTCAGTGCACAAATGGATACTTGAAGCTTATTCCATTGAGATTCTTGGAAACTATTCTGTCACATGTCGACTCTATTTGAAGCCATCTGCCATGGAAAACCGGACAGAATTTATTATTTATTACACGGTATAATTGCCAGGCCGGGTATGCTGCCGAGGTGGGAGACATTGTGGAAATCCCTATTGTGAGAAGGAAATGCACCTTTGCATGATTTGTGCTGCCCAGAGATTTAGGCTCTTCATTCCTGATGTGGCATTTTCATTTTTATTCTTGAGTATAATCACAATGTACTCTGGCAAAATACACAGACATGAATACACACCCCAAACTCAAAGCGCAAGACTTTATAGTGTTGTCAAACAATATATAAATTTATATATTAAAAAAGGTGACATTGTATTTCAGCAATAGCCATTCCAAGCAAATGACACATATTTTAATCCTAGGAATTTCTGTCAAGAAACTGGGTTCCTTATGGCTGCTGGCTGTCTGTGTTTCCACTGTCGTCTAAACACTGATGGCTCTTTTTACAGGCCATTAATAAAATAAAACTTCACAACAAACTGATTCACTCCCTTCCTGTATGTGGTACTAATTAGGGGTGGGGGAAAAAAATCGATACTGTGTAGTATCGTGATATTTTGTTTGCTAATAATGTATCGATACAGGGACAGCAGAAATCGATATTTTGTTACAAAAAACGTTTTTGTGGACTGGAACATGCTGATCAACATGCTCTGACTTCAGAGCATGTTGATCCTTTTTCTGAGCAAGAACCCTGACATTCCTTCACTGTCCAAATGTGTTTAACTTTTTTTTGGCAGCAATAAACATGACAGTTTACTTATTTTAATTTAAGACATGTTTTATTTTAATTAAGTTTAAAACTTTTTTATTTAATGTAAAATTATATTTTGTTTTAATTTACTTTCAAATTCTTCAGTTGCTGAATGGGCTGCATAGTTTTCATAAATTGCATAGTTCAGAATAGCTATAATTGTACCAGATGGTTGCATTCAGTTAAGTTGGACTAGACTGTAATACAAACCGTTCAGTTTGTCAACAATATAACTGACTGAAATGAGAGAAAGAGTGCGAGACTTTGATATTAGATAAAATGAATATTGATAAAGTTTACCTTTATGTACAGAATCTGAATATCGCAAAATGTTTTAAAAAATTGCAATACTATCGTATCGTGCGTTTAGTATTGTGATAATATCGTATCGTGGGATGTATGGCGATTCCCACCTCTAGTACTAATTGAGAACAGTAGAAATGTTAGAAAAGCAGCATTCCCACCCGTTAGTTTCCTTCACCTCTGAAAAATACTAGCAAAGAGCAAGAAGCAAGTCATTTGTTGTTGTTTTATTGCAGGGATGAAATTATGTCCTATGTAGTAAATGCAGCTGTAGTCAGGATAGTTTTGGAATTCTTTGTACCAGATCAAGTACACAAATCCCACCAACCTGACACAGGTGAATTTCAGGGTAGACCATCTTATACCCTAAAGAAATCATGTGACTTTCTAAATTTGTTAATGGCCTCAAAAGTACTTGCATCAAGTGGCAGGACTTTAACTTGCTTCGAGCACCATATGGACTATTCAAGACAAGCCTATAATTTTCAGTGTAATTCATTGCACCTCCCACCCCATGTCTTACTATAACATTCACACCCCCTAACCCAACATGCAGCAACAATGCCAAGATGAAAGAAGTGCCAACATTTGCTGCCCTGGGTCAGTTTCGGGTTGCAGTGCAGCTCAAATGTTACAACAGTGGAAAATGATTGTGATTGGATCTCCAAGCCAACAGCTGGCATGGTATGGCTGAATGACAGAGGCCAGAGTTAACCCTTTCCAAGCCTCAGTAGCAGACCGATAACTCAGGGTGGATGTGTGCTGGTTTAACCCAAGAATTACAGACATGCACATCACAAAGCTATTCAAAACTACAGTCACAATGAATCCCCTACAAAGAAGATTGCAGCAATTGGGAACAAGTAGACAGGACAATAGTGATGGATGTGTCATAAATATACTTATGTCTTTGTTTCCATGTTAAGGAAACCCTCTGGCAATTTGAATACCTTTATGTGCCAACAACTTGATGCAAGTCAAGGATAGCAATTCTAGGGATCCCTCTGCAATGGAGCTGCCTAATGCGAGAGGTGATATTTTTAGCTTCCCCTAGACTGTCCCCTCCCCCCACTGCTAGCCATTGCCGAACTGGGTCAGGCCATGTAAATGTGGAGGGTACAAAGCAGAGACACCCAGCCATCCTTGTGCTGTGTGGCTTGCAGCTGAGAGTGCTACTTCATCCCACCGACTGGAACCTCTACGTAGCTCTCAAACGCTGTCAGGCTGCCAGTTCATGAGAACGCACAGTCAGTGGTGTCACCGTCAACACGCTTTTCCTCTCCAGCTCCTTTTACTGCATGTATGGAAGGACACGTAACAGCATTTGAAATGAAAGTAAACAATCATCTTTTCCTCCAAAAACTAAGGCTGCTGGATAAATAGAAATAACATTTTATATATGCATTTCACTGTCTATCATATTATATTTATAGATCAATTTATGGACACTTTAAGACTACCGTGTTATTTTAAAAACATTTATTTGTGCTCTAATATTATTAAATATAGTCTTCGTACATTTTTTTTCTTTGTGTGTTCTGTCTTGTAGGTAAGCAGATGTAAATTGTTTTTTGGAACAACATGGTTTCCAAAAAAAAATAAAAAATTCTGGTGCAGTATGTAAAACTTTGTACTGATAACAAGCCAGCTATACACATTTTTTTTAACCCCCACCTGGTAGAGTTTCAACATTTGTGGATTCATTCCTAGTTGTGAATTTCCCTGACCTGTGTACAATTATAAGGCACTACTGCCCGAGGGCACAAATTTGACCACCATTCAGTGCTTAGTATGTAGTATGCTTCATAAATGATGAAATCTTATTTCTTTTTTGCAAGTGAATGTTGAAAAATATTAATTTTAAATTAATTAATTAATTAATTAAATTTAAGTTATCATTATAACTATTTGCCAATGCAATTTTACAAGGATGTTAATGCCTGTCTGTGTTACTTCTAAAAGCCTCTCTCTGTTTTTATACCCAATCATTTTACCAACCTGTTTGCAACAGATCTGATTAGTGTTGAGACTTTCGACCACTTTAAGCAATTAAAAATTTAGCATTTACTTTTCAAACCTTTTAAGGAACAGGTTGTACTTTTCTTTTTGAACCTTTGTGCCAACAAAAAGAATTTGCTATACAACAAGCAGTACAAATTTGAAAAGCATAAGCAGTAATATCTTAAATTTACCAACAAATAGTTTGACGCTGTCTTACAAAAGTAATGCAGGTGAAACACATTCTTATAGACCGGTTTTTAACCTCTTACATAACAACAGAACAGACAAGTTATAAAATTTAGTACATAGTGGCCATCTAGGCACATGAAGACTGACTGGTTTCTCAAAACTGTTTATATTAACATTTATAGAGCATGTCAAAAATAATTGTTGCTACATACATAAATGAGGGGAAAGCTGGGCATTTAAATAAGTAAAACTGAGAAACTGACCACATGAGTATTTTTGAGTGCTGGAAGACTGTCCTGTTGTTAAAGTTGTATTCTTACCCTCCACCCCCCACTGTTAAAAATAAATAAATAAATAATTTTTTGGACAAATTCAGAATTAAAATTTCAACATTTACCTACAGAATTTGTTATCATCAAATCAAACATGCCCCTTTTCTTTCATAGTACTGGCCACAGAAATACTATACATGAATATAAAAATTTTACTGCTTTCTACTAATTTCCTCCTGTCAAAGATGTAAATGCACACCAGGAGGTATGGTTTTATTGAGCTTTTGCATAGCATTTCATGTGCATAGGATTGAAAATGTTCCAAAATGAGGCATCTTTCATTGAGGCACTTTGAAGATCAGAGGCTTTCTGTGTTCTTGCTTATGTGCGATACCACAGACCAGATCGGTGGCCTGGGGTCCTGCTGCCCCATCATTATCTGCTGCAGTCTGAAATTGCTGTTGCCATCATTTCAGTTTTAGGATGCACAATTGTTGACTTGTGCATTATATATTTCACAAAAAAAACTGTGGTACAGAATGCATTGCTATGGTTTAACACATGTCATGCATGTGTTCTGCATTCATTGTGACGAAACCACTTGCTGTAACTGTTAATAAATAGCCTAAGTGAAAATGTATACTAGAAAGAAAGTTTTGAAGCTTTAAGGAACAGACAAATGATTTCATGATCCACATGATTGCATTTGATTCAAATAAAAATTCAAGTGGTATTTCAGGGAGTGATTGTTTCCCACAAATACACTGCTCTGACTTGATTAGGCAGGAATTGCTCTCTCATTGGCTCCACCGTATGATATTACTTGCCCAAGATTTTCAGAGCATGCTACAATGGCAGTTTAAATGTGTAGAGAAGATTACACCGGAGCAGGACTGTGTACTGTATGCCACAAGTGATAACATCCAAGACAACCAGCAATGCTTTACGATGAGAGAAGTTGAGGTCTGGAAGTATGCTTCTATTATATAAGCTCAATGACGCTGAAGTTCAAATGAACAAATAATAATAATAATACTACAGTTAAATCATCTAGCCCACTTTAAAAATGTCCCTTTAATCATCGCCACGTCAAACCATGGAGCCCACCATGTTGCAGAGATGCCAAAACTAACATAAATGTCCGTCAGACTGACTGGTAGCATATTTAGACCTTCTGACAGTCTTCAGGGCTATTTTGCAGCACGTGCTTTGCAATTATTTTAATTAGGCACAATCCCAGTATATAATAACTTTTGCCAATCTTCAATTATAGTACATTTGATCTCCTGAAATTAAAAACTGAAGCATATAACTGGTAGTCACACCTGTGTAATTTGTTTCTCGTGCGAAGTTAAACAAGATTTAAATGAACAAGTAGTAATGAATGACTAAAAGACCCTGTAACCTAAAACCCCTGCTTGAAATAATCTTGACCTTACAATCCACACACAGTAAGAAAGATAAGTAAAATGCCATCATTGGTAAATGTTACCATGAATACATGACACTGGTTCAAAACCACACTATATTTAGCTTTCGATGCTGGTTTACATGAGGCTTAACGCCACCTTAGATTAATGACCTGCAGTGGTCACCTCAGTGAAATAATGCTTTAAACTAGCAATTATAAACATTAAACTTGAAGAATTACAGAGTACACTAAGGACAAATGTTAGTAATTTGTCTTAATGTTGGGGTTATAGTTGTCTGCAGTGCAGAGCATGACAATGAAATAAGTGAACATGTGAACCAGCAGCTGTAAGAGGAACTCATCCATGATGAGTTAGGAACAGATTTGGCAGGCGACAACTGCCTGGAAGAAAGTATACCAGATATGCGGCATTACTTCACAGTGGCTATAGCAGTTATCTCAGCAGCAAGGAGCATGTAAGATTGGTGAGAACAACATTCTTCAGCACAGAAAGAAAGAAAAAACATGCACCGCTGAAAAGGACGTAGAGGTGTGGTCTTGAAAGGTTGGTTTTCTACAAATGAACTAATGAGCCACAAAGGTCAGGTGATCTTCCCTCTGAAATATAACAATTTTTTTGAAAAATTTTTAAAAAGTTTTTCAATTTTTTCTTGCTTCT